GATAACAGAGAAGTAGGAAAAACATTGCTGGCCATTCTTGATGCCTTAAACTCTTATTCCCACTCGCAGAGGAATGTGTTTAAAATGACAACCAAAGCAAGAGCTCTGATCACCTCATGTGAATTGAAAGTCCAGAGTTCCCGTTAACTTTTCTTGAGTGTGATATTTTTATTTTATTCTTTTTATTTATCTATTTTATTCTATAAATTATCTTTGCTTAATGGGTTGGAAACATCTCTAGATAATTCCCAAACCTCATTTCACTTTCCACATTTGATTTTTTGATCACTTTTTAAAAATAAGCATTTTCATGATTTAGGTGTCATGACCATTTTCCTCTCTTATCTCTACAGAGATCTCATGGTACAAAGAGATCAGAAAGACTTTAGCACAGATTTTGGCTGTTATGTTTACTTACTGCTTGGCCCAGAGAAAGTTACTTAACTTTGTTGAGACTCAGCTTTCTACTCTGTAAAATGGGAGTGACAATATCTACCACAAGGCTGGTGAGGAGTACATAAAACAATGAGTATAGATGGCCTAATACAGTCCCTGGCAGATAGTAAGTGCTCACGCTGATAACAATGATAACTGTTACTTGTCGTTATTTCAAAAATAATACTGTGCTAGAGTGCCTAAAAAGTTGATATTAAAAGAAAATACTAAGGAACTAAATTAATTCCCAAAATTGATAGTCAACTCATAAAATATTAAGTTGAAATTAATTCTGACAATAAAATACAATGTAATTTGTAAAGGATAATGGATGAAAGGAGTCAGTTGGTGAACTCTGTTGTTCCCCAAATTTTCCCTATAGGAGAAAGACAAGGGCAAAGCCACCCATTTAATATCATTTGCCCCAAATAGAGTGAATGCTGGCAAAGTTGTGGAGAAAAGGAAATGCTGTTACACTGTTGATAGAAATGCAAATTAGTATAGCCTTATGGAAAACAGCATGGTGATTCCTCAGCTAAAAATAGATCCAGCTATCCCACTTATGGGACTATATCCAAAGCAAATGAAGTCAGGGTATGAAAGAGAAATGTGCACTCCACGTTTACTGCAGCAGTATTCATAACGGCAAAGATAAGGAATCCACCTAGATACCCATCAGTGGATGTCTGAATGAAGAATGTGCAGTATTTGTACATAATATTACTCGGCCACAATAAAGAATGGAATCCTGACATCTGCAACAAAACGGATGGAATGGGAGATCGTTATGCTAAGTAAAAAAAGTCAGACAAAAAAAGACAAATATCATGTTTTCTCTTATTATATATGGAAGTTTATACATATAATAAAAAAGTTTAGATGCAATATCATTAAGTATATAAAATCTTATCATCACTGAATTATACTCTTACAAAATAATATACCCTTATTTGTTCATTTTATGGTTTTTGCCATGAATTCCATGTTATGTGCTTTAAAAAACAGTATGTATGTGTGTATATATATATACATATAATTTTTACATGAGAAATGAATATGATAAAATATTAAAATTTGTCAATTCTGTGTGCTCATTGAATTCTTTGTACTTTTATATATTTTGTGAAATATTTTATAATAAAAAGACAAAAAACAGTACAGTCTGCCAAGTGTTCCATATTAATCTAGCACCCCTGCAGGTGAGTAACTGGAACTGATTACCCACGGTAGCTTGGCCTTGGGCCTACCATAAGCATCACATTATCTGTTCCCGAGTTCTACTGAGTCTACCTTGTAGCAATTCCTAAACTCACCCTCTGTTCCATCCATCTATTACTACTATGCCTCTAATTCAGATTAGGTTTATTTTTATTTTTATTTTTTATTTTTTTGACAGGCAGAGTGGACAGTGAGAGAGAGAGACAGAGAGAAAGGTCTTCCTTTGCCGTTGGTTCACCCTCCAATGGCCGCCGCGCTGTGGCCGGCGCACCACACTGATCCGATGGCAGGAGCCAGGTGCTTTTCCTGGTCTCCCATGGGGTGCAGGGCCCAAGCACCTGGGCCATCCTCCACTGCACTCTCTGGCCACAGCAGAGAGCTGGCCTGGAAGAGGGGCAACCGGGACAGAATCCGGCGCCCCGACCAGGACTAGAACCCGGTGTGCCGGCGCCGCTAGGCGGAGGATTAGCCTAGTGAGCCGCGGTGCCGGCCCAGTTTTTTTAAGGATTTATTTATTTACTTGAAAGTCAGAGAGACAGAGAGATCTTCTATCTGCTACTTCACTTCCCAGATGGCCAAAACAGCTAGTGCTGGACCAGGCCACAGCCACAGCCACAGCCAGGAGCCAGGAGCTTCATCCGGGTCCCCCATGTAGGTGGCAAGGGCACAAACACTTGGGCCATCTTCTACTGCTTTCCCAGGCACATCAGCAGGGAGCTGGATCAGAAGTGGAGCAGCTGGGGCTTGAACTGGAGCACATATGGGATGCTGGTGTTGCAGATGGCAGCTTTGCCATCTACACTACAACGCTGGTCCCAAATGTAATTTTTGGGAGATTCTTTTCCAAACCTAAACCTCTCATTACCTCATTTAACTCAGCCTCTATAGTTTACAGTACATATAGTTTATTGATGAAATATTTTGCAGTCAGATAACCAGGGTTTATGTTCTGGATCTGCCATATATTAGCTATGTGACTTAGGCAAGATGTTTAATCCTTTAAAGCTTTAGTTCCCTAATCATTTACTTATTTATTAAGATTTTATTTATTTATTTGAGAGGTAGAGTTACAGACAGTGAGAAGAGACAGACAAAAAGGTCTTCCTTCCGCTGGTTCACTCCCCAAATGACCACAACGGCCAGAGCTGGGCTGATCTGAAGCCAGGAGCCAGGAGCTTCTTCCTGGTCTCCTGCTTGGGTGCAGGGGCCCAAGGACTTGGGCCATCTTCCACTGCTATCCCAAGCCACAGCAGAGAGCTGGACTGGAAGAGGAGCAGCCGGGACTAGAACCAGCACCCATGCCAGCACCACAGGTGGATGATTAACCTACTGCGCCATGGCGCCAGCCCCAGTTCCCTAATCTTTTAAATGAGGGAAATAACACCTCTCTCCCACAGGGTGCTGCAGTGACAGAGATCTTAGCAAGGAGACTCGCATTCTGTGAGCAGTGATCAGTCACTGAATGTTAGTGCTGCTATTGCTTACCATACACGTGTCCAGAAACACCTGGGACTCTTGTCACTGTCACTATCAACATTTATAAATTAACCCCATGGCAAAATGAACTTTGACTTTAAACATCAGCTGCTATTACTGAAGTGCAGTATATAAAGAATTGTAACATCTTCTTGAGAATTCATAGCATCTTAGAGCATTTGTTTATGCAATCAAAACCTTAGCAAGTGTTAAAAAAACGGAATCTTGTGTAATGGATTCCGAATATCCACGAGTTAAAAAATTTTCACAACACATTAGAGGAGAAATCAAAGAGACTACAAGATCTAAACAAAATGAATCAAAAAAAAAAAAAGCCAGAGAACTTTGAAAAAGAAAATGTATGCTTGAAAACTGGAAAAAAGAAAGCTTTCCAAGGGTTGCAAAGTCTACCTGGCCAGGCTTGGAACACAGATGAGTGAAGCCTGCTGGGAGAAAAGCAGAGAACTTCTCTCCAGGCCCTGCCGTCTGGCCCTAGCCTGTCCCAGCTATGTGGGATTCGGGGCATCCCAAATCCAGACGTATATATCTTGATAAATCTGAAATTTTCCAATGTTAGTGTACGGGCACAGCTGGCCAAGTCACCGCTTGTAATGCCATGCACTGGTTGGAGTCCCAGCTGCTCCACTTCTGATCCAGCTTCCTGCTAACGTGCCTGGGAAGGCAGCAGCAGATGATCCAAGAGTTTGGGCTCCTGTGCCCATGTGGGAGAGCCAGATGGAGTTCCAGGCTCTTGGCTTCTACCTGGCCCAGCCCCAGCTGTTGTAGCCATTCGAGGAGTGAACCAGTGGATGAAAGATCTCTCTGTCTCTCCCTCTTTCTTTAACTCTGCCTTTAAATAAAGAAAAAAAAACTGTGTAAAATAAGTATGAAAGCTCAAGATATAATAAAAGCAGATACCTCTTATAACATACAATTATTAAAAAGACTGGAGCCTTTGAAAGGGTAAGCGAAGAGGGAGGACTAATGCTCATCAACCTTCTACTATGTGCTTACATTTAAAGCAAAAAAGTCTTACTTGAGTGTCACAATTTGTTAGAGAGGAAATGTTTTCATTTTCCGATGGAGGAGAGGCCTAAAAATGATAGCAGCAGTTGTTCCTGATCACCAGTTAGGAGGTGGAAAGGCAAGGTGAAACGCATACATGGATCTGCCTGACCCCAACCACCACATGGTCTGGTCAGAACGGGATCTGCAGAACTTCAACAACAGAGGACTCAATTCTATCAGGGGTAGAGGCTGAGTTCTAAACTCCATCATGGCTCGCATTGCAGTCATGCCTCCTCCTCGTCCCCTCAACCTCCACCCCCCACGGGGGCTCACAGCCAGTGAAATGGGTGCTGCCTGCAGCTGGGAGACCCAGGATTTGGCTCGAGGGCTCCTGGAGGCCTTGCTGACGCTCTTAGATGGTGTGGCGGCATTGCAATGCTCCTGCCCCATTTGCTTTTCCCTCTGGGTCAGACCTGAATCATCTTTCAAGACTCCCAGCCTTTCCTGGCTCCCTTGCATTGCATTTCCTCTCACAGGTGTTTCCCTAATAAAACCTGTCTGCCTTATCCATCTGAATGTCCCCCTCTCAGACACAACTGCCAAAACGTGCCCAAGGCCTTACCTGGAGGAAACCCTGGATAGACACACCCTTCTGTAAAGGGAAATACATCCCCCCAGTGAGTTCGCTGAAAATTTGCACCTGCCTGTAACTTTTCACATATTATTGTTGACATCCAGGAATATACTAAGTATACTAAATACACATCCATGTGTATATGACTGACCGCCACCAGCACCAGCCAGACATCAAGCAGTGGGTGACGGTACAGATCATGGTGACAGCCCACCACGGTATGACTCACCTGGTCTCTCTGCTTGATTCGTTTGTAAATATATTCTGCAAAGGGCTTGCGAGGAATAAACTTCCCATCTCCTGCCGCGATGTTGAAGACTCCAGCTTCGTACACCACTTTGCCTCTTGAAATAGTCACAAGCGGCACGCCATGGCAAACCATGCCCTCGAAGATGTTGAAGTTGACAGCTTGATGATGAGTTTTTGCTGAGATGGTTCTGTGTTTGTAAAGACAAAAAAAAAAAAAAAAAAAAATCCCGGGTCATCATCTGCTCACTTGATGAATATAAAATATTCAAAAAGGAATGACTTAGAAGAAAATTTAGCAAGTCTATTAGGCCATAGCTTCATCACTGTAGCAAGTGACTTCAAGAATAGAACACTGCATTAACATTTCATTACACAGTAATTCTATTTTCTGACGGAAAAACCCAAGTGATCACTCTTTAAGCTGATTAATGAGGAAGGAGCAAATGGGGAAAAGGCATCGTCTTTCATGTTTGGATTTCCAAATTAATTTTTATTTACACATTAAAGAACAACATATTGTTTTTACATTTAAATTATGAAACTTTCTAAACAGGTGAATCTGATGAACACACTGACCTAGCATCCAGCCACAAGACTTCAACTTTTTCCAGCTGCAGTGAGATTTCCTCTAACCCTCTCTTCCCAAATCCCATTCTTGCCCCTGCCTTCCCAGAAACAGTCATCACTGGATAGTTCTCAAGTTACACCTGGTAGTTATCAAGAGAAAGTGCATCTTGAATAGTTCCCCTTGTCTGGGGCAAAGCAGAAAATATGAGCGCAATTGTTATAATACAATCTCTTGGCCAGTGCCGCAGCTTATTTGGCTAATACTCCGCCTGCGGTGCCAGCACCCCGGGTTCTAGTCCTGGTTGGGGCACCGGATTCTGTCCCAGTTGCTCCTCTTCCAGTCCAGCTCTCTGCTATGGCCTGGGGAAGGCAGTGGAGGATGGCCCAAGTGCTTGGGCCCTACATGGGAGACCAGGAGGAAGCACCTGGCTCCTGACTTCGGATCAGTGCAGCACCGGCCATGGTGGCTATTTGGGGGGGTGAACCAATGGAAGGAAGACCTTTCTCTCTGTCTCTCTCTCTCACTGTCTAACTCTGCCTGTCAAAAAAAAATAATAATAATAATAATACAATCTCTTACTAACTATACCCTATGCCATGTACTTACATAATCATCAACTTATTTGTATTTGTTTTTTCCTGGAAAGATCCAATTTGATGCATTTATTGTATCTAATAAGATATTCTGAAGCACAAATGCATTGTGGAATGACTAATTCTTGCTAATTGACACCTGCATTCTCTCACGCAGTTATCGTTTCATTTTTTCAGTGGGAACACTTTCTATCCACTCTCAGCATTTTAAAGAATGCAATATATTATAAACTTAAATATTCATATCATACAGAACTCTTGCTTCCTGGATCTATTCTTATATAACTGTAATTTTTTATCTTTTAACCAACATCTCCCCAATGTGCCCACCTACCTCAGCCCCAGTCACTACCATTCTACTCTCTACTTCAATGAGTTCTTTTTTTTTTTAGGTTTCACAAGATCATTAGGTATTTGTCTTTCTGTACCTGGATTACTTAATCTAACATAATGTCCTCCAGATTCATCTATAGTATCATAAATGACAGGATTTCCTTCTCTTTTAAGGCTCAGTAGTATTCTACTGTATGTATGTGCCACATTTCCCCCGCCCCCATTCATCCACTGAGAGTCATTTAGACTGATTCTGTATCTTGGTTATTGTGAATAATGCTACAATGAACACAGGAGCAAAGATATCTCTTTGACATACTGATTTAATTTCTAGTGGATAGACACCTATAGTGGGATAGCTTTATCTCAATGGCTTATTAATAGTATTCTATCCTACTTAATGTGGTTGATAACTTCTGGCAATGGATATTTAGAAATGCTGGGTGCCCCCTATCCTTAAATCACATTAAATAGAAAAGAAAATCTAGTGTCTGTGAATAATATGAGCATGACTTGCATTCTGGTGGAAGGTTCTACAATTCCTCTCAGGAAAGGATTAAATAGAAGTATTCTACTACCCCAAAGTAAAACAACTCAGAGCACCTCGAACCCCAGTCTGGAAGAGCTGTTGTGTGATACAGTCCTAAAAGTGGACAAGGAAACACTGGTCTGGTCCTTGGTTCCAGACTCTTGTATCCAGTTGCCTCTTTTGTTTCTGTGCCTCACACGGAAGGCTTGACTTGCAACTCCTGCTACAACTCACTCACTCCAGTTTTCTCCTCCCTGGGTGTCTCATCTCTGTAAATGACGCCACCATCTACCCTTCCTCACCCCTCAAACCATCATCAAGCTCACGGACTCTTTCTCTCCCCAAATGAGTCCCAAACCTGCCCACTCCTCTCCCTCTCGGCTGCTCTCACCCATAGCCACAGCACTGTCACCTCTCATCTGGACAATCAAAGACCTATTCCTGGTGTTTCTGTTCCCGCTTTTACCCTTCTACACCCTCAACAAAGCTGCTTAAACAATACTTCAAAAAGGAAAATCAGATCATGGCACTTTCCTGCTTGAAGCCCTCAGTTGCTCCAGTCTGGTCCCCAACAACCACATAGGTATTTTTAAAAAGCACAGACATAATAAAAATAAAAAAGATCTGTTCCCACTGAGAAATGCCCACCAGGGAAAAGAAAAGGAGGAGCTCCAGTATGCCAAGAGACAAGACAATTTATAGCATTTTATTCCATCTTTATAACATTTCCCAGGTAGACAGTATTTTACAGGCATTAAATAGTCAAAAGACAAATGACCAGTTGGATAAAACGGAGATCTTTTCATATTTTTTTTAAAATTCACAATAAAATGACCTTTTTGTATACAGTTCTATGAATTTTGACATATATACAGATTAGTGTCACCATTGCAACAAGTAGGACATACAGCAGTTCCATCAGCTCCCCAAACTCACACACAGGGAGCCAGTGTCAGTCTAGCAGTTATGACGCCTGTGTCCCACACTGCTGTGCTTGGGTTTGATTCCTGGCTCCAGCTTATGACTCCAGCTTCCTGCTAAAGCAGACCCTGGGAAGCAGAGGTGATGGCTCAAGTAATTGGGTGCCTGACATTCACATGGGCAATACAGGTTGAGTTCCTGGCTCTCAGTTTTGGTTCAATCCTAGCTGCAGCCTCTGTGGCCACCTGGGGAGTAAACCAGTGAGTGGGAACTTGCTCGCTCTCTGTCTCCCTCTCTCTCTCTCTCTCTCAAGTAAATAAAAAAATAATTTAGACATTTTAAAAATTCTCATATTCTTCCTTTGTAGTCATACCATACCCCCATTTCTTACTTCTGGGCAACCACTGATCTGTTCTCCTTCACTGTAGTTTTCCCCTTTCAAGAATATCACACAAATGGAACAAGGAGACTGTGTTCTTTCACTCTGCATGATTCCTTTGAGGTTCATCCAAGTTGCCTTGTATATCAACAGTTTGTTCTTGTTTGTTGCTGAGTAGTTTTCCACTATGTGAATGTACCACAGTGTGTCATCCATTTATCCCCTAAAGGGCATTTGTACTATTTCCGGTTTTTGACAATCATGAACCTAACTATGATAAACATTCAAGCAAACATTTTATGAGATTGCTTCTCTAATGTGAATTTAAAAATTCATGTGGAAATTTTATTTGAAGTGTAAGAATGGTAGGAGGAAAAGGGAAATTCTAAGAGTTACCGAAGCTATTAGGAACAGAATCTAAGAGAAGAAATAAGCTTTATACTCAGAGATTGTAATTACAATGTTGCCTAAATTATTGAAAACTGAAGCATGACAATATTCTAATGACTATTCAATGGAAGGCATTTACAAAAGGCTGGAATAAAGAACTCTACAGAGGTGGGTATTTGGCATAGAAGTTAAGAAAGTTTGGAATCCCTGTACCCCTTTTACAGAGTGCTTGGGTTTGAGTCCTTGCTCTGCTTCTGGTTCCAGCTTCCTGTTAATGCATGCCCTTGGAGGCAGCAGGTTATAGTTCAAGTACTTGAGTCCCTGTCATCCACATGGGAGACCCAGATCGAGTTTGGGATCCTGGCTTCAGTCTGGTGCAACCCTGGCTGTTGCAGGCATTTGAGGAGTGTGTCAATGAATAGATCTTTCTCTGTCTCCAGATTCCCCTCCATTTTTCAAATAAAAAGAAAAAAAAAGTTTTTTAAGGATTTATTAATTTAATTGAAAGTCAGAGGGATGGAGTGGGGTGGGGGTGGTGGAGAGAGAGATCTCATCTGCTAGTTCACTCTTCAAATGGCTGTAATGGCTGAGGCTGGGCCAGACTTAAACCAGGAGCCAGGGACGCCATCTTGTGCCCCAGATGGGTGACAGGGAGCTGAACTGGAAGTGGAGCAATCAGTGGCACTCTGTTATGAAATACTGTTGTTGCAAGTGACAACTTAATCTGCTATACTACAATGCCAGTCCCTATAAATTTTTTTTAAAAAAGAATAACCTAGAAGCAAAAACCCCAATAATGATGTAACATTAAGTGGAAAAACAGTTTATAGAGAGTGTGTTCACAATGTCTACATGGAAAACACATATACATGTGGACACAAACAAAAGGAAAAGACAGTTTTTCGTGATCTAGGGAAAAATGACTACGGGAGAGTCCATGTACCTTCAGCGTTCTTGTTACACTACTTCTACTATTGATAAACTTAAAATGAGGTTGACAGTAAAATACCAAATCACATTTCTCTGCCTCATGCCACATACAGGTCATTACTTTGACTTTCTCAGCCTTGGGGTGAGGAAGGGAAAGAGGACAATTAGGCAACATCTAAGAGATTCTTTAGAATAAGGTGTTATGTAAATGAAGTCAAATTAACACAAAATGTAAATTCTAGGCATTATCACCAGCAGCAAAAAGAATGTGCTCCCACTTTCACATTGGAAGGTATCTGACAGGGTGTTATTCATCAGCCAACTTTCTCCTTCCAGCCAATGCCTAATTCTCCACCTCTTAGGTGCTTTCTCACTTCCCAGTTCTTTTCACCTTGAAAGCCTGCTCACCTCTGCTCCCTCCTTTCCCTAAAACTCTGCTCAGAGATCCTGATCCCTGGCAGGCCAGACAATGACCCAGGCTGACACGGAGGGAGCTTTTCTTCCGTTGTTTTGCAGTGCCTGCATTACTGTCAGGATCTCTTCAC